ATGCCCTATCATACAACAAAAGTATATGCTCTACTATGTTCATATCAGCATTGTTTGTAATAGCCAGAACCTGGAAACAACCTAGATGCCCTTCAATGGAAGAATGGATGAAGAAAGTATGGAATATATACATATTAGAGTACTACTCAGCAGTAAAAAACAAGGACTTCTTTTTTTTAAAAAAAAAAAAACAAGGACTTCTTGAATTTTGCATGCAAATGGATGGAAATAGAAAACCCTATCCTGAGTGAGGTAAACCAGACCCAAAAAGAGGAACATGGGATGTACTCACTCGTATTTGGTTTCTAGCCATAAATAAAGGACATTGAGCCTATAATTAGTGATCCTAGAGAAGCTAAATAAGAAGGAGAACCCAAAGAAAAACATATAGGCATCCTCCTGAATATTAACCTTCATCAGGCGATGAAAGGAGACAGAGACAGAGACCTACATTGGAGTACAGGACAGAAATCTCAAGGTCCAAATCAGGAGCAGAAGGAGAGAGAGTACGAGCATGGAACTCAGGACCGCGAGGGGTGCACCCACACACTGAGACAATGCGGATGTTCTATCGGGAACTCACCAAGGCCAGCTGGCCTGGGTCTGAAAAAGCCTGGGATAAAACCGGACTCGCTGAACATAGCGGACAATGAGGACTACTGAGAACTCAAGAACAATGGCAATGGGTTTTGATCCTACTGCACGTACTGGCTTTGTGGGAGCCTAGGCAGTTTGGATGCTCACCTTACTAGACCTGGATGGAGGTGGTGGTCCTTGGACTTCCCACAGGGCAGGGAACCCTGATTGCTCTTTGGGCTGACGAGGGAGGGGGGACTTGATTGGGGGAGGGGGAGGGAAATGGGAGGCGGTGGCGGGGAAGAGACAGAAATCTTTAATAAATAAATAAACGGAAAAAAAAGAATTATGGGTTAGTGTACAATGTAAGAGCTATTTAATAAGAAGCCTGAGCTAATAGGCCAACCAGTTTATGATCCATGTAGACCTCTGTGTGTTTCTTTCGGACTGAATGGCTGTGGGACTGGGTGGGACAGAAACTTCTGTCAATAATCCAGTGCTGGGACTGGAGGGATGTCTTAGTGGCTAAGAGAACTGCTTACACTTTTAGAGGACCTGAGTTCAGTTCCCAGCTCACAACTGCCTGAACTCCACCCCCCAACACACATGACGAGATCCATTCACATAGACACACAAATAAATAGAAGTGTTTTGTGTGTGCACACATGTGCATCACACACACACAGTCGTGGGAAAGAGAAGCAGGAGGAAGAAAAGGAGGAGGTAGATTTCCCAGCATGCACCAAACAGGTGTGTACTGAAAGACAGGCATGTGACTCTCACCATGACTTTATTCAGAAACGACCAAATTAGAAACAGTCCACATGCCTGTTAATAATAAAACTCAATACAGTGTAATTCTACACACTGAAAATGAACATGAAAACATGAAGTGTTCTCATAATCTTCATGTCAAGATGAGGAAGGCAGGTAGAAAGAGCCCAGAAGGGCAACCTGTTTGTATAGAGTTCAGACCAAGAGAGCATGTTAGAAGTTGGGAATGGTGCATGTTGAGAGATGGGACATAAGCTGGGGATTTATGAGATTCTGGCAATGATCCTTTTTCCTCTTTCCTTTCCTCCCTCCTTCCTTCCTTCCCTTCCTTTCTTTCCTGAGACAGGGTTTCTCTGTGTTGCTCTGGCTGTCCTGGAACTCACTCTGTAGACCAGGCTGGCCTTGAATTCACAGAGATCCTCCTGCCTCTGCCTGCCAAGTACTGGGATTAAAGGTGCGCACCGTCACCACCTGGCCCCTCCTTCCTTTTTAAATACAGAGTTTTATTATGTAGCCCAGATGGCCTACAACTTGTGATCATCCTGCCTCAGCCTTCTGAGGGCTGAGATTACAGGTGTGAGCTTCCATGCTTATGGTCTGTGTTTTTAATGCTGGTAAAGCTGCTATCTAAGCCCTCTTGTTAGACTCTAGTGTCCAAACACTGAGGAGGAGCCGCCCCCAGAGACCACCTCACACACCACAGCCAATGCAAAAGCATGAGGATTTTATTAATTCTGTCATGACAGGTTCCCTCATCATTCGGGAAGCCAAAAGACCCCAAATAGCTGGTACAGTCTACTTTTAAAGGGGCCACAGAAGCAAGGGGGGTTGTTCTTTGACTATTCTGATTGGCTTATTCGAAAGGGCTATTACCAATAATTGACTGGAGAGCTGTTGCCAGATCAGATGAGGTAAGAGGTCATTTTGACCCCGTTTCCCAGGGGACTGAATCAAAACATACGTATTTGGGTAATTGTTCAGGAACTGAGTACGTGCATGTGTAGCTGTTAGGTCCTTGGTTCCCAGGGGAGGAGGGGAAGCACTATGGCACAGAGGCTGAGAGGATTCAGAATTGTCAAAATGGCTTCAGAATTGTCTTAAAGTCTTACACTCTGAGGCAGCAGCCATTGTGATTCAGGCCTATAATCCCAGCACCTGGGAGGCTGAAAGATCAGGAGTTATTCTGGGATACATAGCATGTTTGAAGCCAGCCTAGGCTCCCTGAGACCCTTTCCCCCAAAAAAGTACTTTTGAAACCAACAATTCCTTGCCCTCTTCCCCAGCCCCGGCAACTGATTTTCCATATGCTCTGTAGGATTTGGCTCCTCTAAGTTCCTCACACGGGTAGACTCCAACAGCACCTGTCCTTTGAGTATCTGGCTAGTTTCTTTCTTTCTTTTCTTTTTTTTTTTTTTTTTTTTTTTTTGATTTTTGAGACAGGGTTTCTCCGTAGCTTTTTGGTTCCTGTCCTGGAACTAGCTCTTGTAGACCAGGCTGGCCTCAACTCACAGAGATCCGCCTGCCTCTGCTTCCCGAGTGCTGGGATTAAAGGCGTGCGCCACCACCGCCCGGCTCTGGCTAGTTTCTGAGCTGGAGTCATCACAGTTCTTCCTGTTGTAACCTGTGTCAGGGCTCTCTGTTTCTAAGGATGGTGATAATGGCACTGTGTATGCAGACCGTGTTTTGATAAGACCAGGCATCTTATCTGCCCAGAGTGTCTTCCTCCTGTTGGCTGCTGAGAAGGTGGTTTGCTACAGAGCGCTCTCTCTCTCTCTCTCTCTCTCTCTCTCTCTCTCTCTCTCTCTCTGTCTGTCTCTCTCTCTCTGGTGTGTGTGTGTTAAGCCACAGTTGCCTGGAACGATATTGTGCCTTGGTAAAAGTTTATTAAAAGAAAACGACTATGCTCTTAAATGAAACTGTGTCATTCAGCGAAGATTGCCGCAAAGCCTTGGGGGACACACTACCAGAGAATGCAGCCCCCCACAGCCTCTTTTCAAGAAAAAAAAAACCTGATTTTTTTCCCCTCACAGCACCACCCAGGGACAAATCCAGACAAACAGGCCTGGGCATGGACAGACAGGCACAGGCAAGCTGCAGCACGAAATACCATCTATTTAAATCCAAAGCCTAAGCCTGTAGTGGCCCACGGCTGTGACCACCTGAGATGATCTCACACACACACACACACACACCGACAAACACCCACAAGGACTATAGCAGATGTATTGTGAGTACACGTGACGCCAGCCTCGGCCTGGATGTGCATCTATTGTATGTGTAGCAATACTGCAGCGCACACGTCTAGTTCTGCCTATAGGTGAAGAGGGTGAAGACCAGGCCCTTGGGATAAGGCTGAGCTTCCTTTAGATTGCACAAAACCAGCTAGCTGTATCTCTTACTGAACTACCCAGAGTTAATTGTTATTTTGAATAATTAAGACAACAAAGGAGGGAATAGAGATGGCTTAGCAGTTAAGGGCGCTGTCTGCTCTTGCAGAGGTCATGAATCTGGCTCCCATCATCCAAGTTAGCTCACAACTACTTGTAATGCCAACTCTGGGAATCCAATGTCTCTGACCTTGGTGTGCACGTCCTCTCTCTCTCTCTCTCTCTCTCTCTCTCTCTCTGTGTGTGTGTGTGTGTGTGTGTGTGTGTGTGTGTGTGTGTGAGAGAGAGAGAGAGAGAGAGAGAGAGAGAGAGAGAGAGAGAGCAGACCAGGTCTTAGAGGACACAGGGACCCTGGAGCTGACGAGTTGGCAAGAGTGAGTCTCCCACCTTGTATATAAGCAGTCAGGGCAGACACACTTCTCTGCCTCTGGCTGTATGAGTCCCACTTGGTTTCTTCCTGTTCCTGAGCAGCAGCTTCCCGTGGGGTGGACATACCACAGCTAGTCGATGGCTTCCCGTGGGGTGGACACACCATAGCTAGTCAATGGCTTATTGTTCATGGTGATCCAAGAGATGTTTTTAGTTCGGTTTGTGATCAGTAAGCTGCTGAGAATTGGTGTTTGTGACTTTGTGTGGACACATGGTGACTTCGTGTGACATGGTGACTTTGTGTGGACACAGGTGACTTTGTGTGGACACATGGTGACTTTGTGTGGACACAGGTGACTTTGTGTAAATACATGGTGACTTTGTGTGGACACAGGTGACTTTGTGTAAATACATGGTGACTTTGTGTGGACACATGGTGACTTTGTGTGGACACAGGTGACTTTGTGTGGACACATGGTGACTTTGTGTGGACACAGGTGACTTTGTGTGGACACATGGTGACTTCGTGTGGACACATGGTGACTTCGTGTGGACACATGGTGACTTTGTGTGGACACAGGTGACTTTGTGTGGACACATGGTGACTTCGTGTGAATACAGGTAACTTTGTGTGGACACAGGTGACTTTGTGGGGACACATGCTCCATTCTGTTAGTTTCTGTGAGTAGGGTAGCAAATGTTCTGAACATTCTGCTTTAAGACGGCCCCACTTGCCCATGTATGAAACTTTCAGAGTTTGTAGCTATTCAAAGCAGGGGTGTTGGGGTTCACGTTCTCATTGTGTTTGTCTAGTGGTCTTAGGATCAAACCCAGGGCTTTAACACGAGGCAAGTGCTCTGAGCCTCACCCCCAGCCTCTTTCCTTTTTTAAAAAAAAAATATGGACCACTTCACAAATTTTGTGTTATCCTTGCACAATGCCCATGCTAATCTTCTCTGTGTTGTTCCAATTTTAGTAAATGTGCTGCAGAAAAGAGCACTTTTTCTGGGAGTATCTTGCTATGAAACCCAAGCGACCTCAAATTCTCCTTACTCAACACAGGATTTCTCTGTATGGCTCTGTCTATTTATCTACCTACCAACGATCTATCTACCAGCCTACCTATCATCTATCCATCATCTACCAACCTATCTATCTACCTGCCTACCTATCATCTATCTATCTATCTATCTATCTATCTATCTATCTATCCATCCATCTATCTATGATAAAGTCTCTGGTAACACAGGCTAGCCTTGAACTCACTATAGCTGAGGATGACCTTGGATTTCTGGTACTCCTGCCTCTGCCTTCTGAGCACTAGGGTTCCAGGTGTGTCATCCACAGCCAGTTTATGTGGTGCTGGGGAATCAACGCCAGGACTTTGTTCACACCAGGCAGGTATTCTCCCAACTGGGCCACACCCCCAGTCTCACTGTGGTTTTAAATAGTCTTTCTTCAGGGACCAGTGACGCTGGTTGGTGCTCCGTGTCTTTGTTAATCCTCCATATACCTCTTCTGATACCATGTTTGTCTGAGTCTGGGGCCCATTTCTGGTTGCCTGGTTTCCTACTGAGCTGTAAAAGTTCCTTATATATCCTGGGCACGAATTCTTTGGCAGACAAGACTTGGGGGCATTTGCTCTTAGCTGTAGCGTCCCTTTGAATTTATTCTTAGTAACAGTGAGGCCCATGCTTGTTTTCATGTCAATAAAAAGCTCAAAGCAGGAGAAGCTAGGTACATGGGTGAGCCGTGTCCAGCTGACTGTGTATCCTCGGAATCTTCAATAGCGCAAAGCCGAGATGATGTAGACTCTGTTGTCACTGTAGGCTGGTGTCACCGTGCCACATTTTGATGGGGCCAGGCAGTTTGTAAAGAGATGGAAAAGGTTACCAGCAGGCTGGCATCAGGTCAGACCCACTGGCTCCCTTCTGGGAGGGCTGCTGGCCTGGGAAGCCAGCACTAACCAGGGGGACTATAGCACCCAGGAGGTCTCTGATAGTGCAGATCAGCAAGGCAGAAGGATCCAGGCTATGAGGGCTCATGCCTGCCCTGCCCTAGCTCTTGAATGTGAGCAAGGCTCCCTGTTGGTAGGGCTTCAGCAGTTAGAACAGTCTTCGCCTAAGGGGATGTAGGCCTTAGCCCGGAGGCTGGGAGGAAACTGCTTTACCTGAGGGACAGAGGCTAAGGGGACTGTGCCCACGGTGAGCAGTCCTAAGGGGGGGGGGGGGGGGAGGGATGTTGGCCTTAGCCCTGAGGCTGGGAGGGAACTGCTCTATCTGAGGGAGAGAGGCTGGGGGGGGGGGGGTGGATTGTGGCTGGTCCACCCTTCACTGAGCTCTCTGCTTGCCTTCAGGGCCCACACCTGGACGCCTCATTCTCTAGGCAGTTGGAGCCCTCTTGCTATGAAAAGGCTCATTACAAAGGTAGCTTGGGTAAGGTGCGGAATGTACTGCCCCCTCTCAAGATCCACGGGGATCAAAGTGTTGAGCTGTGGTCTTCCTCAGGCCTAGAAAGGACTCATAAAGAGACATATTCTCAGATGTCTCCATAGGAAATTCTTCCCTTCCCCTCCTCTTCCTTTATTTTATTTATTTATTTATTTATTTATTTATTTATTTATTTATTTATTTTAAAGCAGTCAATGTTATCTTCTTTATTTATTATGTATACAATATTCTATCTGTATGCCTGAAGGCCAGAAGAGGGCGCCAGACCTCTTTACAGATCGTTGTGAGCCACCATGTGGTTGCTGGGAATTGAACTCAGGACCTTTAGAAGAGCAGGCAATGTTCTTAACCACTGAGCCATCTCTCCAGCCCCCCTCTTCCTTTATTTTTATTTCTTTTTATTTTATTTTCTTTTGAGACAGGGTTTCTCTATGTAGCCCTGGCTGTCCTGGAACTCACTCTGTAGACCAGGCCGGCCTTGAACTCAGAGATCTGCCTGCCTCTGCCTCCCCAGTGCTGGGGTTAAAGGTGTGCCCCACCACTGTCAAGCTATATTTATTTTTTATTTATATGTTTGAGAGTTTTACCTGCATGGATGTCTGTGTACCGCGTGTGCCTGGTGCCTGAAGAGGCCAGAAGAGGGCATCAGAGCCCCTAGAACTGCAGTTACAGATGTATGTGAGTTGCCATGTGGGTGCTGGAAAGCAAATCTACATCCTCTGTAAGAACATCAAATACCAACTCTCCAGCCTTGAGACTGTGCTTTCCTTAGGTCCTTGAACACCCAATAGGCAGGAGTAGGTCCCCCACTGGCTGGTACCATCTCAGCCCCCCATTCTCCTCCCACTGGAGCTGGAGCAGGTACCCTGCCGGCTGGTCCCATCACAGCCCTCCATTCTCTCCCACTGGAGCAGGAGCATCTCTGCCCACTGTGCCTGGCTGGGACTTAACAGCGGGACCCTGCAAGCAGCTGGTGACTTCTCAAGAACAAGATGACAGCATAGGGGACTTGACCCATCTGCTCCCTGGCCCTTTGATGGTCCCTGGTGGCACCCACAGACGCTTTCCAGAATGGGTCTGTATGAGAATTTAATTTAAAAACAAAACACCCACCAATTATATCTAGATAAAAAAAAAAAAACTCTACGAAAGTGCTGCACCTGGTCTACAGCTGTACAACTTCCAGCCCTGGAGGGAGGTGAAGAAGAAAAAGAAGACAAGTTGCCTTGTCTGCCCTGGAGCTCACTCTGTAGACCAGGCTGTCCCAGAATTCAAAGATCTGCCTGTCTTTGGCTCCTGAGTGCTGGGATTAAAGGTGTGCACCACGGAGCCTGGCTGCACACATAATGTATGTTATGTACGATGGGGATGCAGCTTGTTGGTAGACTCCCTAGCACACAGGAGGCCCTAGCATTGCAAGTTAAGCGTGGTGGTGCCTGTAAATTCTAACACTAGAGAAGTAGCAGTAGAAGGATCAGAAGTTCAAGGTCATCTTTGGCCACGTAGTGAGTTTGGGGCCAGCCTGGGCTACATGAGATCCTGTTTCAAAAACAAAACACAGGCTGGGCGATGGTGGCGCACGCCTTTAATCCCAGCACTCTGGAGGCAGAGGCAGGCAGATCTCTGTGAGTTCGAGGCCAGCCTGGTCTACAAGAGCTAGTTCCAGGACAGGCTCCAACGCCATAGAGAAACCCTGTTTCGAAAAAAAAAAAACAAAAAAACAAAACAAAACAAAAAACCACAGCAAATGGTACACCTTCTTTTTCTTTTTCAGTCCCAAGTCTGAGACTCTGAGTCTTCAGTACTCATCATGGTTGTTGTCATGGCACACAAAAGTCCTCAGCTCTGAGTGAATTCCTTTTTTTGAGAAGCAAACCTGAGGACTTTACCTATGGCCCACCTGCAGAGGCATCTACAGGTGCTTTGGGACCAGGGAAGAATTGCAGGAAAACACCCAAGGAGCAGCATTTGCTGTGTGTTGTGTTGGGCCCCTGTTGAAAAGGACTGTGGATCTCAGGGTCACACCCACAGGTAAGAGTGTTCCCTCGTGGGAGTGGTAGGCAGGCTTGGTGTCAAGGGAGGAGAAGGGGCAGTCGGTGGTGGAAGGCGGAAGGAGAAGCCCAAGAGTTCCTCTGGTTCTGAGTGTCACATCTGTCCCTCCGACTGGGGAAACATCTCGGATGGCCTTAACCAATTCACCTTGGGTCCCTGACCCCTGCGACAGTGCCCGGCATACTTTGTACAAAACAAAACAAAATAAAGGGGAAGAGTTAAGAATAGTGGAAGTGAACATTTGTGCTGGTGTGTGTGTGTGTGTGTGTGTGCTGGTGTGTGTGTGTGTGTGTGCTGGTGTGTGTGTGTGTGTGTGTGCTGGTGTGTGTGTGCTGGTGTGTGTGTGTGTGTGTGCTGGTGTGTGTGTGTGTGTGTGTGTGTGTGCTGGTGTGTGTGTGTGTGTGTGCTGGTGTGTGTGTGTGTGTGTGCTGGTGTGTGTGTGTGTGTGTGTGTGCTATAAACCCTGCACTTGGGAAACTGAAGCAAGGATTTTGAATTTGAGACCAGCCTGCATTAACCCTCTCTCAAAATGTATATTTCACTCAATCTTAGTGGGCTTCATCACTTATGTTACAGAGGCTGATGGTATAGCTCAGTGGTAGAGCAAATTTCTAGGCCTGGGGTTGAGGCAAAATAAAAACAAACCAGACTATATTTTCCCGAATGGACAGTTACTATTTAAAAAAAAATAAGGGTGGTGGGGGTGGGTGCTGTAGAGATGACTGGTTAAGTGTGCTTTCCCAGGGGACCTGAGTTCAGTTCCCAGCACCGACATCAGGCTGCTCATAATCACCTGTGTAACCTCAGCTGTAGGAGATCCGATGCCCTAATTCGGCTCCCTCAGATATCTGGGCACACAGAGACACGCAAGCAAAAATGAATCTTTAAAAAATAGATGATCTCTGCTTTTGTACTAGAAGAGCTCAGCCATTTTCATGCATTAAAAGTCCTAGCAATGCACTGCCTGATCCACTTGCTAGCTTTGCGATAATGAGACGTGTGAACGCGTCATTGCGCCTCCTGGGTTTTTGTCTAGTTACCCTGCAGTTCCCACCTGCCACTTTTCTACACTCAGCAAAAGTGGTCTTTTTCTTCTTCTCCCCAAGTAATCACAAAGTTGTTCTACTATTTACTATTTACTTTCTTTTTTCTTTTCTTTTTTTTAAAATTTATTTATTAAAGATTTCTGTCTCTTCCCCGCCACCGCCTCCCATTTCCCTCCCCCTCCCCCAATCAAGTCCCCCTCTCTCGTCAGCCCAAAGAGCAATCAGGGTTCCCTGCCCTGTGGGAAGTCCAAGGACCACCCACCTCCATCCAGGTCTAGTAAGGTGAGCATCCAAACTGCCTAGGCTCCCACAAAGCCAGTACGTGCAGTAGGATCAAAAACCCATTGCCATTGTTCTTGAGTTCTCAGTAGTCCTCATTGTCCGCTATGTTCAGCGAGTCCGGTTTTATCCCAGGCTTTTTCAGACCCAGGCCAGCTGGCCTTGGTGAGTTC